TTATATAGAGTCATGTTATTTGTTAAATATGAATAATACAACTCATCTTAAATTTTGTACAACAAACGAAGCCAGTATTTAAATTTTTTAGGAAAATTAAAAAATAATTGTGATACCTTAACAATGTCCTTGTAAGTGATGTTCTTCAACTTAGATAAAAATTGGTGTTGTTGTTAGTAACATTTTGCTAGGAAGAGTGCTAAAAAAACCAGCTCCATCGTCTCCTTTTGGTAATCAAATGGTCACACACATATCTTGTTATAAGCCATTTCTTGAAATTGCACTTAAAATAGGGTTAAGTTGTAAATTTGTTCCACAAGTTTTTGCTAAAGATTAATGTTGCCCTGGAATTTTTTTTTTTTTTTGGGATTCAATGCCAACCTAGAAGTTTTATCCCATCTAATTAAAAAACTAATATTGACAATTAAACTATTAACATTAACTTATAACAATTTTAATGGTAAGAGGCAATATTCCTCCATTTTAATGCTTTTAGGGAAACTTTGAAATTTAAAAAAAAAATTTGAGTGACACTACTCCTAAGTGAAAACTTTTGAAATAAATTTACATCGTAACTCCTTAAAATATATGGACAATGTATTTATCTTCTTGGTTTTCAGATTTGAAAAGTGAAATGTAAAATAAGTACTTTGTAAATTAAAATATAAATTATATGTATCTAAATCATATAACCTTATATGCTATATGTAGATAAACACGTGTACGTGTATTTTTAAGACTTTGCTTGACATTCCGATTTCACATTTATCAATGTCTTTGAGCATATTACTCTTCCGATCACAAATGTAAAATCTATTGTATAATATAATTTATATTATAAAATGAGTTTTATATTTAGGACAGAGAGTATGTTATAAGTAAAAGGTTAGAAAGCAAATTTTTATAACAAAAAAGGATTTTTAATTTGTTAAAACCCGGGGAATCATGAAGTTGTTGGACAAAAAGAAAGAAGAAAATTGTTCATGTATACACAAAGGAGTTAAGAAATGAGGAGATGGAATGCGGGGTTGGGCCAGCGGGGTTCCACCTTGAAATGAAAATTCGATTACGCAAGTGTACGACAAAGGGAAAATTAGGGAAACCAAAAATCTGAATCTTTCAGGTTAAATTTTTTAATGGTTTAAATCTGAACCATTGGATTTTTAATGTAATGAGGGGAAAAGGAGAGTAGAAGAGGGGAAGGGTAGATGAGAAAATCCCTGTTCTAAGATTAGTATACTTGGTCGCTCGTTGGTCTTGGCTACAGGATCTTTGACGGTTAAGTACAAGATCTCATGTTTGAATCCGTGTAAACGCAGAAAATGTCTGCGGGAATACTCTTTTCAGTTGAGCTGGATCATCCTCGAATCTAACAGGGATGTGGAAGAAAAAATATATACAATCTACGGTTCGAACTAGACAATTAATTTGCAAATTAACTTGGTTATTTATTATAAATATGTGTTGATCTTCATAAACTATATGTGTGGGATTTGGATTATTGAAATTATTCTTTGGTATGAACCGCTTTAAATCAATATGAATATTTTGAGAAAAGATAGAGGATAAATTAAAGTGGCTTGAGGTCTTACTTTAGACCAAATTCAACCATAAACTAACTTTTTTACTATCTTCAATCTTAATTATAAGACCTTATTTGTAGACTGTAAATAAGGTATTATAATTAGGATCAGAGGTAGTATTAAGAAATGAGATAATGAGCTAACTTGAGATACCAAAACCAAAATAAACTCAAATTTTAAGGACTAAAAATTATATTAACTCTTTATTTTCATTCATCGAAATTTTTTTCCCTTCAATTTTTGTTCCGATTTTGAACTATTTGGCATTTGTTAGGGCATTTGATATCACATCAAAAAATTATTTAAATTATGTTTTGTTTTTTTGTGGTGGAATCAATTAGCGGCCTGTTTTCAATTATTTTCTTCAACCAAAATATTCATATCATTTTTCAAGACACGCTTCATTTCAAGATAAAGAACAAATAGATTGTACTATCTTCGGTCCTAATTATAAGATCCAGTTGACTTTTTGCTCCAAAAAAAAAGATCCAGTTGACTAATTTGAAGAGATTAAGGAAGTAAGTTGAGTTAGTTATTTGTTTTAAATAGATGTTGTTTTTCCTAAAATATCCTTACTAATTAAGTGCATTGACCAGAATTATAATTATTAGAAGGATTATCTTGGAAAAAATTGAGTAAATATGAGAGGTAAAGTGGATTGGGATCTTATATTTAGGACCAAAATAAAAATCAAATATGATCTTATATTAAGGACTGGAAGTAATATTTAAAACTATTAAAATAAAAAAAAAATGGTAAACCATTGTTTGACCCGAAAACCATGCAAACACAACACGGTTTGAGAAACTAAGGTTTGGCCCAAAACTATTATATCAATCTGCGAAAGCAAGGTTTTAGAAGAAGCAAAAAATTTCGCTTTTGGATGGGCATTAGTGAATTGCAGGCTTTGGAACACGAAACTATATTTGCAAGTAACATTTTTCTCCTTTTTACAACCCCAACAAAACTTACCCAAATATTTTCATATTTTCCTATTGTGTTTAAAAATATATAATAAATGCATGACTTCAGTAATTTACTGTGAATTTAATCAAATTATTTATGTTTAATATTTTCATTATATGATAGGAAAATTCATAAATATATAATAAGGGTGTTATTTTTAAAAAAATACATTTAATCTTATATTTTATACGCACACTAATTATTAATTAATCATATAACTAATAAATAGCTCTTACATATGTTTATTCAATTTTTTTAAAAAATATCATGGAATTTCATGTTTAAAATCTCCAAGGTAAAATAATCATTTTTCTAAAAAAACATATTTAACTTTATATTTTATAAATATATCGCATATTAATTATTAATTATTTATATTTATATTATATTATTTATTATTTCAAATAAAAATATAGATTAAAATCTATCAAAACAACTATTCAAATACTCTCATTTTATCAAAATCACATTTTCACAAAATCTATTCTTAAAATAACTTTTTTTTTAAAAGTTATTCTGTAAAACATGATTTGGTTTTATTCAAATACCTTATTAATATTATATCAAACATAAGTCCAATTTATGGGCTGAAATCTAGGTCTGGCCCAAATATGTGGGCCCATATGCAATTCAAGGCTTCTTCATCATATAAGCCCAACAACAGACACATTGAACTTTTTTTTTTGGGGGAAAAATGTCCAATATCCATTTCATTCTATTTTCTGTACCAAACATGACTTTAGATTAAATAAGTCAACGTTTGATGGAAATCTGAGAAAAGTTCTAGAAAAACCAAAATCTTTAATTTATATGTGTATATATATAGACACAGATGAAGAACATATATATTAACGAACATACAAATCCACGTTATGCTGCACTTGATTGATACACACACACACGCGCCACTGAGAAGATATATATAGGGAACAGAAAAAAAGAAGGAAAAAACGAATGAATTAGAAAAATGAATGAATGTGCAGTGTGCTAGGGTTTTTTGGGCAATGCATAGGAAGTGTAGACAGAAGCAATGGCTGTGAATAGAAATCCAACAAAGAGAAAACTTGCAGAAGCATTTGCCTTCTCAAAGAAGCTGTCAAAAGGAAGGCCAATTAGGTCACTAATATGTATGATATAATCTGCCCACAAAATTAAAATCATATAATCGTTAGAATTAATATTATTATTGATGTTAAATCAATCATTGTTTCTAGAATTCGATTCAATTAGATAATATTTGAACCACTGTCAAAACTAGTCCAGTGAAAATTTATGAAGAACTAGTAAGATTTGGATTTTTTTAATCTATATAATTTTTTTTATATAAATTAGAGTGAGTGTGTGTGTCTGTGTTGGGATTCAAAGAAAAGTTTTACATTGCTATTGTAAATGAACTATGTAACCATATTACCTTTTCCAATGAAATAGTGGTTTTTCAAAATTATATCTAATAATATATACTTCTCGCAGTACTTAATTAATTTGAACAAATTAAGAATGTAAGATCAGTTAGTCAATTAAAACAAAAGTGACATGGTTTTTCTAAAATAGCCATGTGTTACATTCAATTATATATTAGTTTACAAGTTAATTAGATAAATTAGTTTAGAAAAAAATGATAAATATAAGAGAAAAAATGCATTAATATGTTATTTAGGAATTAGGACCAAATCTAACATCCCAGCAAGTTCCTATGTTAATAAGTACTAGAGAGAATAGTAAAAATCATTCAATGCACAATATAATATAAAATCTATAACAAGCTTGTCGATCAATATATATATATATATATATATATATATATATATAGCAATCTACATTGTTTATGAGCAGGGAATAATTGATGTAGCTTTTCGTCCTTTGTTTTTCAATTAATTTATTGAAGTAGTAAATAGAATGAGATGTAATCTTTTGGTCCTAAATATAAGACTCATTTTGTAGTATAATTTACAGTATAAAATGGGTCTTATATTTAGAATTGGAGGGAGTACTATATATTACCTTATCACCATAAAAGTCAAGTGGATAGCCAAAATCACCACTTATAAGATGCTTTCCTGAGACGACATTGAAGATTGAGACTACCACTTGAAAAAGGTTATATACAAACCCAATCACAATCTAGGCGATCATGTATCTATAATAATAACAACAACAACAACAACAATAAAGCATATAAATAATATACGCTTGTTCATTACAGTGAGTAACATATAAGCAAAAATAAATGAACTATGTATATAGAATCAATATACTTCACTTATTTTTCAATTAAATTAAAATAACTAGTTTTAATTAATTATGTTAACTTCAAATAGTATTAATTAATTATGTTAACTTCAAATCTCTTAACTCCGCCTATTTAGTATAGCTGGTCCCAAGCCCGAATAAATGAGAAGAGTTGTGTTTGGCCTTTGATAGCCAACTTAAAAATCGTCGAATCTCATGAATATGGATCAACGAAGTAATTATGCTACTACTAGATCATTGCTTGGAAGTGATGTGTTGTATGGCTTGAGTACAGTGAGAAATGAGCTAGAGCCACTACATCGTCGCCCGGATATAATGTTAAATAAGCAAGGGCTACCGCACTCTCTTGGACGAAGGCGGTTAAAGAAGTTAGTTCATGAGAGCAAGATTAGATTTTGCACTTGGAATATTAGGATGTTGAATGAGAAATCTATAGAGGTAGTAGGAGTTATGAAGGACAGAAGGATTAACATCTTGTGCCTCCAAGAAACCAAATGGACTGGAGAAGTTGCCACGGAACTTGAAGGGTATAAACCTTGGTACATAGGGAAGGTGAGTGCAAGGAATGGTGTCGGTATCGTTGTTGATGGAACATGAGAAAAGAATGTGGTGGAGGTTAAAAGGTTTGAGAACAGAATAATATCTTTAAGATTAATTGTTGGAAAGTATACTATCAATATCATTAGTGCCTATGCACCTCAGGTTTGAGGTAGATACACACCTTAAAGAAAATTTTTGGGAAGATATGGAAGGGTTGGCTCAAAGCAGACCGCTTGAAGAAAAAAATTTTATCAGTGGGGATCTTAATGGACATGTCGGCAAGGAAGTAGGACAATTTGGTGGGGTCCATGGTGGTTTTGGTTTTGGGAAGCTTGACAATGGAGGACAATCTATTATTGACTTTTCTCTTGTATACAATCTCAAGATTATCAACACTTGTTTTAAGAAGCGAGAGGAGCATTTAATCACCTACAAAAGTGGTGTATCAAAATCACAAATTGATTTCTTTTTGGTTAGGAATCTGAACAGAAGATTGTATACTAATTGTAAAGTGAATCCTAGGGATGGGGTGATTGCCTAACACAGAGTACTTATCCTTAATGTAAGTTATAAGAATATCAGACAAAAGTATCATCAAGTGGTAAAACCCAGGGTTAAATGGTGGCAATTAAAGAGTGAGAAGCAAGAGTTATTCAAAATGACCCTTTTGGAGGAAAGGATCTGGGAGTTGCAGGGAGATGCGAACATGATGTGGGAAGAGATAGCTATAAGAGTTCGTATGGTAGCTAAAGCAATTTTGGGAGAACCCAAAGGTCGTGGGCAGAGAGATGAGGAGACTTGGTGGTGGGATAAGAATGTGTGATTTGACCAAGTTTTACTGTATTAATTCATGTCCAATAGCATGTTTTTAGGGGAATTGATTGGTTTAAAATGCATGTTTTGATATGAATTGTAGCAGTTTATAAATGTGGTTTTGAATTCTCATTAAGCACTTTGTAGGGGTAAAAACTGTCAAATTGTGCATCATTTTAATTAATCATCATTCACAAAATTGAATTGGATATTATAAGTGCTTAAATTGATTTTCCAGCCAAGGGTCAAGTGAAAAATATCTCCAAAGGACCTAAGTTCGAGGAAATTACAGTTAAGGCCCAACAAATTTTAGGAATTCCAGAAAAGGCGCAACTAAATGTAGATGTTCGTTTTGATCATTTAGTCACGACTAAATGGATATTTGGTTGCGACGAAAAGGATGTTGACACATAACCAGGGTTTAAACCTCAGATTGCGATTGTTGGAAATATACCATGTGAGCCAGCCGCCAATCACCGTGAAAACACTCCCATTTTCATCTCCTAGGGTTCTTCAAGGGTTCTTGGGGTTCTCCTGTTGATTTCCACTGATTTTCACCTCTTCCCCATCTCATTCCATCAGTTTTCTGCATCATCCATCTTCCACCTTCATCTGTTATGGCTGGTACTGTGATTTTAGAGCTTGGAGGAGCTGTTTCTGAGGCCATGAGAGGCTAGGACATTTTGCCTTGAAGAGTATTGATGAGGGCCTGAGCTTATAGCTTAATTTGGGGAGTTTCACTTCATCTTTTCTATTACTTTAATAGCATTTCAGTTTTTCTTGGTTAGAATTTCTGTGTTGTAGTTAAAGCTGAGCTTCAATATTATAATCTCTGTATTTTGGATTGGATGTTGAGAATTTATGCTTTGGTATTTGTTCTGTAATGAGAATCCTATGTTTAGTCATGTGAATATTGGTTGTTGTTTAATCTAAATTCGGTTTGATTAAACGTGGTGGCTCGCTAGCATAATTGGTTATTGTGTTCTAGTTGTTGTTACCATTACATCAATCTCACCAAGTGTTCATGCTTGAGGGTGGTTAGTTTTGTTGTGAGTCTTTGGGTCAAAGTTTCACTAGCATGCTAATTTACCTAAGTTTGGAAGGTTTTCTAAACTAGCTAAGATTAGTTCTAAGTAAATTCCCACCATATTTCGAAGTGATGAAGGCTTAATCAATTCTCCAAGGGGTATTTTATCAATTAAGTTTACAACTTATCCTTTTGATTGTTTTCTTGCACTATCGTTTTAATTCACTAAAAGAAAAAGATCAAAAAGACTTTTCCACTTCCTTTTTGATTTCATTGGAATTTAATTCAGTCTCAAAGTCCCCCCCAATTTTATCTTTCCGTATGGTTTGTCACTAAGATTGCATAGAAACAAGTCAGACTCCTCAAAGTGAACACGACCCGGATCGTGCCTTTATAGTGCATTCCTATTTAGAACTAATTGTTTTTGAGAGCCCATAACGACTAAGACTTCATCAAACTGGTGCCGTTGTCGGGGAGCTATTAATTTGGTTCCTCGTGTAATTTTGGTGTCAACTTGAGTGTTGAGTTTGGGTTCAAACTGTGTGATCGAGGCTGTCTAGTAGTTGCATTTGCATTATAGTTGTCTTAGAGTCCTTAGTGTTAAACATAGTATTTGTTTTCTTTACATAGAAAATTTTCATAAAACTCATAAATATCTTGACTTCTTTCAAGTTTTGCATTTGTGTTTCTTTTGTTAATTCTTTAGATTTCTTGCATCAATACTATGGTTACTAGCTCGGTTATTGCAATTTTCTAACCCTGGTGTGGCATTAATACCTCTGGTATTGCAAGTGCTCTATTTTTACTGTTGCCTTGTTCTGAAGTTGATTCTATAAAGATATTTTGTTGTGACCAATACTTGTTTTGCTGCGATGAACTGCTTTCCATTTTTCTGGGTTTGCTTCGGTGAACACTTTAATCGCAACGAACTCAAGTTTAGTCGCGATGAAAAACCCTTTTTGAGCTAAAAATTTGTTTCTAAGTCTTGACTAATACATACTCACTCCACATTTCATTTGAGTGTATAGTTATATTCTTTCATCATTCATTCATACCCTATACTCTTGCACTCCATTCATTCATCCATTTTAATTGAATTACCTGTGTGTACGGAATTTTTGCATCTCTTGACTGTGCATGTGAAGAAGGACTGAACCTTTAGTACCTTATCAGCCTGAGTTGGAGAGATATTTAGGAAGGTTGAGGAGAGAGCGTAGGTTAGCAAACATTAATTCCCATAATCCTGACCCACCCACTGGTGAAGAGGAGGAAAACCTAGTGGAAACATTCGTAGAGGTCCCGATCATAGAAGGTGTAGGTGGTATTGGGATGAACTCTAGTGACCTTAGGCAAAATGAACCAATTGGGAGAAATGGGTTAAATGGTAATGGACATGAGGGAGCCGGTGAGAATATAGGATTTAATGGTATTAATAAACCACAAAGAGGGAGAACTATTAAAGACCTTACTCAATTCGATGCTAATTTTGAACCTTTACCTAGTGCATTGCCTATTTTCGAAAATGATTTTGAACTTAAGGGTCAATTAATACACTTACTTCCTAAGTTCAATGGTTTGTCAGGTGAAAATCCATACACTCATTTAAAGTATCTCCATATGCAATACTTGTCTATGAAGCCAGCTGGGGCGAGGATCGAAGATGTGCTATGGAAAGTTTTTCACCTATCTCTGGAGGGGAAAGCCAAGGATTAGTATATGAGTCTGCCACTATATGTGGACAATCCATATGAATCTTGGACTACAGTGAGGAGAGCTTTTCTTGACAAATACTTCCCATCTACAAAGATCTCCACTACTAGAAAGGAGATATCTTTTGCTAAGCAAGAGGAAGGGGAAACTTTCTTTCAATTTTGGAGCCAACTCCAAGATATACTTACCAAGTGCCCAAACCACCAGATTATTAAAGAGTATCTTGTTCAGTATTTCTATAATGGTTGTTGCCATATGATGCTGAGGTATTAGATGCTGCAGCTAATGGATCAGTTGAGTTAATGGAGCCATAAGCTGCTTGGACCTTAATTTGCACCTTTGCCTTGAACTGCCAACATGTGAGCCCTACAGATGCTAGAGGGTACAAGGGAGATAGGGATCCACTTCTTGTTAAACTAGCCCAGTATATGGCTAAATTGGCTTCCACAGTTCAGAATCTCTAGAGCAATCAACCTCATACTGAGCCTCTAGCCTTGGTCGCTGCTTCTTACAGCTTATGTGATTCTCCAATGCATAGAATTGAAGATTGTATTGGTCCTGCTGAAAATGTGTCTGCTATGTATCAATAGAGGCCGAACCAATATCAAAAACTGGACCCATATTCTAATACCTACAACCCTGGGTGGAAGGATCACCTTAACTTCAAGTGGGGGGGAGGCAATGATTGAGGTCAAGTTGGGAATTACGAAGGAAATAACTACCAAGGTGGTTACTCAAGTAACTATCAAAGACCTAATCCCTCTACTACTGTAGTTCTGGTTAATCGCCCACAACAACCAAGTGGTGGAAGTAGTGAGCTGCAAATTATCTTGAAGGGGATTGAGAACTTGTCTATCCAGATGTCTAAGAGTGATAGTAAGATAGCTTCCCTAGATAATAAGATGTGCCAAGTGGAAGGGAAGATGGTGGCTATGGGAAGTCAGTTTGAGAACAAATTTGCCACTGTGTACTCAAAGATTGAACAGCTTGAAACTAGACATGAGAATATGAATGGGTTTGTCACTCAAATGTCCAATACCATAAATGATCAACAAGTTAAAGCTAGTGGTACAATGCCTTCAAACACTGTCATAAATCCTAAGTCTCTTAATGCTATTGAGCTTAGGAGTAGGAAGCGAGTTAAATTTGCTCAAGAGGAGGATAACAATAATGAAGTAGAAAGCCCACCTCTCTCACCCATGAAGTTTTCTGAAAGTTCTAAAGAGAAGGCATTGCTCAAGAAATCCAAGAAACCACAAGGAGGTGATCAAGAGGTTGGTGACACCAATGAATGCCATGATGAGCAACCCAAAGAAGTACTGAAAAAAAAAAAGCTGCTACGAAGAAAGGAGAAGTGAGCAAAGAGGGAACCTTAATGTATGATGGTAAGAAGGTAAATTCTAAAGAACGTCCTTTTCCCAATTCATATCTTATGTCTAAAAGGGTTGTGGCATCTAAAACTTTGAAAGAGGTTGTGGATTTCTATAGTAAGCTTGAAGTAAATTTA